GTCGAGGGGCCCCTTAGCAGTTTTCTGTTTTCAAAAAATGACTTCTAAAAAAAACTATGCTGTTAGAGATGAGCTGAGTCAAACTACGAAATGAACATCATAATTTTTTATTTTACTTTTTTCTATATCAATTTTTGTCACAATACTCCATATATTTGATCAGGTACGTAGTTACATGGAATGCATACATCTCGAAATCGCGAATACTTCTACATTCATGGTTTCCTTAAATCCGTTGATATAATTATCATTGCTACCATAAAAAATTACTAATTGCTGACCATAAATCTATATCACCCGAAACATCACTATAGAATTCATTGCACAAACATCAAGTGCCTGCTCTTATTTCTAAAACGTTTTTTTTCTCGATTTGATAGATTTATTTTTCGGGCTCGCTCATTTTCAATTGACCGCCGTACCACGTGATGCTGTCAACTGCCGCCCATGCCGACACCGCGACGTTGGCATCACCGTGAGAGGTTATCTGTCAGTGCTGCACGGGGAATCATCTATTCGTGAAATTAAAACATTTTTTTAATGACATTTTTCTGATCATTAATTTTAAGAAGGGCCCCTTGCGGAATACCGCACCGGGGCCCCGAGCTCATCGCTACGGCCCTGATCAGGGACAAAAGTCACATTTGAAAAGGGTTGAAATTTCCCCTCATACATTCGTTTAACAGCAAAAATATTAAAAATTCTAGTTAGTTGTTTAAAAAATTTCGTACGTAACTTAAGTGGTACCTGAAATACGTTTTTAAAATCCTACCTTAATCTTTACGCCTCCTTTAACTTTAACGACCAAGAAGTTTTGAAGCCATTGCATTCCACTTGCACCAATTTACTGAAAAAAAAAAAGAAAATTTAAAATCATTTACTCATATATCTAATCGATGGCTGAAGTAAATAAATTTATTATGAAATACGTAATAAAAGTATGGACACAGTATAAAGATTCTATACAGTAGATTCACTATTCGGTATTTTAGGAAGATCGAATGAGTGACCCTACTGTAAGAATCTTTATAGTGTGACAGGGGCTGGCTTCTATAGAGTGTCTTCCAGAGTTGTAATTTATTTGAAATACTTGCATTTAAAATGCAAATAAGAAATACCTATTTTTATCTTGTATTTAAATACTTTTTTAAGAAAAAGCATTTTGTATTTATTTAAAATACTTTTTCAAACGTATTTTCAATTTTGTAAAATGCCGTTTAAACAAATGCCTTCGTTTTCTTAAATTCCTGAGAATGTTGAACTTTCGTTAAAGTTCGATTGTGGTAACATGCTCCAATTCTACTTGCCTGTATCTGTTTCTGTTACACATAAATTGGTGCAACGTTATTCCTTTTTTATTATTAGTCTCCGCTGCAATTCCTACCTGACATCTCTTTTCAATGTTTACGATATTCCCTAGCTCTAGAACGTCTGTCGTGAGTAAAAGTAGGCTCTAGACTCTAGTCTAGGTAGTAAGTTGAAAGAAGAAAGTATAGGGTTGTTGGGAAAGTCATTTCGTTTTTTCCCGACAGAGGATTTAATTGTATTCTTTTGCACCCAACTTCGCATTTAAGCCGTATAATTTTTATATGCTTTGAGAGCTCATATAGCAAGGCTTGTGTGTGAAAAATTTCAATTATTTCTACGCAGTAGTTTTTGGTTGGTGCCCTTTTAAATATGGAGAGCGATAAGCAGCATTTTCGACATATCTTACTGTTTTACTACAGAAAGGGTAAAAATGCTGTTAAAGCCAGAAAGAAATTGTCTGATGTGTATGGAGAAGGTGTGTTGACAGTACGCCAGTGCCAGAACTGGTTCGCTAAATTTCGATCCGGCAATTTTGATGTCGAAGATGTACCACGTTCGGGAAGGCCGGTTGAAGCTGATAAAGACGCGATAAAGGCATTAGTTGATGTGAACCGGTGAATAACAACACGTGAGATCGGATTGAGGTTAAATTTATCAAATTCAACAGTTTATGACCACTTGAAAGGCCTGGGATTATCCTCGAAGCTCGATGTATGGGTTCTCCATGTTCTCACAGAGAGAAATCTGTGTCGCCGCATTGACGTCTGCGATTCGCTTCTCAATCGTCACGAAAATGATCCGTTTTTGAAGCGCATCATCACTGGGGACGAAAAATGGGTTGTATACAACAACGTCAAACGCAAGAGGTCATGGAGCAAAAAAGATGAACCGGCTCAAACCATTTCCAAAGCCGATATTCACCAAAAAAAGGTGATGCTGTCTGTTTGGTGGGATTTTAAAGGAATCGTTTTTTTTTTTAGTTTTTACCGGATAACACAACGATTAATTCCGAAGTCTACTGTCATCAGCTGGACAAACTGAATGATGCACTTCAACAGAAAAGGTCAGAACTAATCAACAGGAAAGGTGTAGTGTTTCACCAAGACAACGCGAGACCTCACACCTCAATGGGATACAATGCTACACCCACCATATTCTCCAGACCTGGTACCATCGGATTATTATTTGTTCCGGTCACTCCAAAATTTTTTAGACGGTAAAACCTTCACCTCAAGTGAGGAGATCAAAAACCTCCTCGATCAGTTTTTTGCCAGCAAAGACCAAAAATTTTATGAGCGTGTAAAACTGTCTTTCATTTCCACAAAAAAAAAACGAAATGACTTTCCGAACAACCTATAGATGCCACAGTTTTATTGCAGACTATGCCAATTTTGAACGTCCCGACTATAAACACTTCGGTAAAGCTACTGAACCGTCCTTGTTATAGCAGTTTAACGCACGTAAAGTTAATTTATGATGGCATCCAAAAAATATGTCGGCATGTTAAGCAGATCAAAGTTGTGAACCTACTGTGTAGAATCTTTATATTTTGGTGTAATAGGTTTACTCTTTTTCGATCTTTGAACTACACCGTCAGTGGAGGCACAAAAGAGGCTGGGGAAATATGGGAAATTCCTTTCCCAACAGCATTCATTTTCAATAAAAAAAATTATATAAAAATGCCACTCAACTTGAATGACTGCTGTTTGTACCTGGAAGTACTGGATATTAAAAAACACGGCATATTAGACAAGTTATTTCACAATAGGTTGCATTTGGAAGATATTTAATTCCACTTCCCTAAAACTCGTTTGCAAATCCGCCCCTAATTGCCGGTACAGTAATTTAAACGTTAGATTATTGTAAATTGTTTTATTTCAAAGATATGCATAAATATTTACTATTTTATGTACAGAAGTGGCCAAAAATATTACATTAAAATATAAACAGAGATGATAATTGATTCACAAAGTAGATTAAAATGGACAAGTCCTGACGGCTTCCACAATAAGCTTCACCGCTGATGATACAAATATTCATCTACACTATAACCAAACATTTCGAAGTCCTGTCTATAAAAAAAAGAACACTGACGTAAAATTACCCTTATTCTAGATATTTTGATCAACTACCTGTAGATATTGTAAAGATCTTTGATTTGGGATTGACTTAATTCCGAAAAGTATTTCTTTGCTTCGTCTTTCGTTTGCGAAGCACTCTTGTGCCTCCACTGCGGTTTAATAACATCTTCTAATTTTGCATGTTTTATTAAATAATCTGCATCTTCCTGTAAGTTACAAAACCGCTATTTTACTTAAAAAAAATACCTACCCTCATTCGCCTGTTCAGTATATCTATTAATAATATCTATACCTGCAACGTTTCGACATGAGCAATTACATCAAATTCAAAAAAGCAGGGAGTGCAAAAAGACCAAACCGGCTCCCAGTGTTCGTTAAATCTGTTTATTTTAGCCATTCGTATCACGTAAGTAATAAACTGAAAAAATGTGGGGCCTGAGGTGCAGTTTCTTAAATAAGCCCCCTGAAAATTAACAAAGCACAGTTGAGAAATTTATATTTTCCTGTAGGTACCTAATACTTATTATTCATTTACTGAGCGGAGTAGTCTAGCCACTAGTATAAAGATTCTATACAGTAGGTTCATTTCCCGGCCACACCCATACATCTTAGGAGCGACTACATTGTATGCAACAGAGACTGACATAAAAACGAGCGATACCTCTCTCTCTCTTCCTCTGTAACCAAGCCCCCTTAAGGCCAGAAGGCTTAGTTATGGAAAAAAGAGAGATTTTATGAGAAACAAAAAAAAAAAACAATTTTTGAGCTTACTCCATGAAATTAGAGATTAACCTAAAGTACATTATACTTCATTTACTTTCTCTAGCGATGTGCCCTGTGTCTTGGATGCGCGCTAGCAAAATCGTAGGTAGGGAAGTAAAAGCTCATTATACTCTCGACTCTTGTTATTAAACATACTTTTTCATACAGTATCTGCCAAAAGTTTTGTTCTATCATGAATAGTAGTGCGAGTCGAAAACAAGCGTTAAAGCCTTCAATATATCTTCAAATAGAAATAAACATCTCGTTGATATTTTCAGTAGTAAATGGTACCAATAACAGCACATTTGAGAAATGCAATTGTAGTGGATAAAATGGTCAATTTTTCCGTGCAGTACTGTACCGATTATACGCTCCTCACCGGTTAAGAGTTTAGCCGAGAGTTGTCTCCTTTCTTTTCTGGCCTAGTGCTGTTCTTTTCTACTTTGCGCCGGTCAAACTGAAGGTCACATCGGTACAGAAAGTAAACGAAATATACATATACTCAAAAATAAGTGTATATCTCGCCAGCTTTTTGCCCGTAGGGTTGCCCTACCCGTATGGGCTACATTTATTAGGTTGAGTGGCGCTCCACGCGTTATACAATTTTAGAACCCTGAAATTGTAATACTTTTTGATGGGTGACGCTTATCCACTTCGTGTCGGCTTTCCGATTTGAACGAATCAGTGACCATGAAAGGGAAACATCTTTTTTTTAAAGAAAAAACGTCATTCAANAAACTATAGCTACAAGCTATCCAAGGATGGTACTATAGAATGTCACCTCAAGGTAGGCCTAGTGGCGTCATCTCTTGGTTAGGCCGGAAACTTATCAATCCACCCTCGTATAACAGTAGATAGAATTTAAAATTACAATTTATTTTTTCACGGAATTGAGTTATTCCACTCTCTACTTTTCCCCCCTCCCTCTCCCATACCCCTTATCATACCGCGTGGTGGCGTGTACCGGTTAAATATTAAAAATAGCAAAAAAATTGTATGGAATAACATATCAAAATTGATCTTTTGTTGGAAGGTATCCACACCATCCCTTTCTGGAACAGGCATTTCCTTGCCCTCAGTTCTTTATTCTCCCCCTCCCATACATGCTATCATTCCGCAGGATACTCAAGCGAACCCACATTACTTTATTGCATTTCATAACCACCTGCTCTTGAGTTGACGACTGCGGTGAGCAGGTTGTAACACCCAATCACACAGTGAACATTGTTGCAAAATGGTAAGTAAGTAGATACATACTATTAACTTCTTAGAGTCTCTTTCGTGGGAATTGGCGGTTATTTGGGAGAAAAAGGCTTTGCTCGATCTAAGAAAACCTAAGAATGATTTGGACAGGTAGCCACACAAATGTTACGCTAGGACCTTAACCACAAGACCATGCCGCTCGGTTTGAATATTATTGTGGACGTAATACTTTTATTAAACTCTCAAGAAACCACACCACACCTCAACGCATACATACAAATGTTTCGAGAAGATTCCCTGTACAAAAGGAAAAAAAGCGAACGGAATCGATTTTCAACCACGTCTCCAGTTTTTATCATCAAACTTCATACGTTTACAAGCTTTTCTGCACTAAATTTTAAAACCACTCCTCAAAAACATTTCGAACCCAAATTGAACCCCTTTCAAGATTGTGGCCATTACACTTTTCATTTTTATTAAAGTCTACTTCTATTACATCCCACACCATCCCTCTAATAGTTTAGTAGATCTCCCCCCAACAAAAATAATAAACGAATCTTACAGGATTTTGACCACGTCTTCCTTTCTTTATTAACAATCTCAATCTGCGATAGGCCTTGTTATTATCTCTTGCACATTCTAATTTATCTTTGAAAGCCGACAAGAGACGTTCGAAGGGATGTCTGACTATAATAAAAGAAGTGTAGACTCTATTGGCCCTTTTCAGTTCAAAAAATGACGGCCGAAAGTATTTCTTACGAATGAGTCCCATTGGATCGGTTATGAATTCATTGATGTATGAAGTATTATACCTAACAATAAATGTGAATATGAAACTGGTTATAACGTAAGTATTAGTATCTGGGTTTATTTTATTCAACATATTGTCTAAAAGTATTAGCACAATCTTACCCTGCCATCAAATTGAAATTATACAACCACGATGAAGATGCAGCCTTGAAAATCTTGCAGTATACCAATTTGTATCGATTGTTGATCAAATATTCACTTGCCTTAGGTTTAAAATTTATCTCTATCTGTTTTTCCCAATTTTTACATGTGTTACATAAACGCTGAATTCGTGCTTTATTTCTTAAAGCTACTGTATCTAAACTGTTGTCGCTAAAAGCACTCACATAAAAATGTAGGAAAAAAATATGAGCGCCCATATAAAACACTTGCTTACCTTAAATTACAATTACAATTTTCTATTTGTCTGCTGGGAGAACTAGCTTGTAGATATTTATAAAATTGGAACACAAACATTATAAAAACAGTAATACACATTATTTGAACCATTCTATTTGTGTAACACGCCATTAAAGACATTTTTTTAAGAAATAATCTCCATTTATCCATTTTCAACGTTTTAACCTCTTAGATATATATTTTGGAACCCTTTATTTGCAATATTTTTGTGCAGATATTGTAAGCGTCTTCGACCTGTTCGACGTTTAGGTCAGTCTGCAACTTAGGCATTGCTTGCGATGTTAACGGTATTATACATATGTAGGTAATACATACTTACAATTAGAATATTGATGTTAAATAGTATGTCAAACAAGTAACAGGTAGATGCTCCTAATAGGCATAACACTATACCTATCGGAAATAGTAATAAAGAATAAGTGTTGTAGGTATAGCTATAGCTACACATTTAAATACTTAATGTCATTTTTTCACTGCCTAATATCATTTGACAATTTCAATTTATCTCTACTATACCTACCACGATGTAATAGCCAAATGATGTGTTTAATTTTTACTATAGGTATTGGTAAGTAGGCGTACCTAATCCTAATATTCATTTCTAAAGTTGGGAATACACCTGTAAAACGTAATCATTCGTTCGCAATCGTTCTTGAAATGTACCGGTCATTTGTGGAATAAATTTGTCATTATGGAGAAAACTAAATTTTTACGACAATGCAAAAATTACAATTTTCGAGTGTATATATGACTGAATTTGCCGTAGAAATAGTAGTACACACCTATTTATTAGATAACTTGTAATAATGTCAATTTTGACGTTCTTTTAAAAATTATATCTATCAAGTTTTTTATTACAATTTAATTTGTAATATCAACTAAAATACCTAGTAAATTTATTTCTGCTGAGATTTTATTTTTACAGATTCGGGTCCAATTTGTAATTTTTATTATTTTCGAAGCAATTGGCTAGTGGCATAAATTGTAAATATCGTTTTAAAATTTAGGTAACTTTTCCTTTTTCATTTTCCCCGTGATCCCGCAAGTATTTCATGTAAGATTGGGTCGAGGGTGAGAGGGTAGAAGGAGGGGGGTTGTTTAAACCTTAGACATATTTTTTAACATAAATAATCAATCAATAGAACTGAACGATAATATTGATATTATACTTAAAAGATTTTTTATAGTCGAACCGCTTAATAATTCCAGATGATGAAATAACTACATGCATTTTTATTCAAAATCATCATCAAACTGAATTTATAATAAAAATTTTTATTATAGCAGGTGCGTCGAAATGGATTCTACCTAAAATATTTATATGTTGAATTTTGATATAGGGAAAGGGTAAGATGTAAATTTGTACAACAAAACAATTAGTACAACAAAGTAGACAATATTAATTAAATAACTAAAATACACTATAATAATCCTAAATCAGGGAACATCATGAGAACGCAATGATTTTTTATTTGTTGATTTACAACACATGGCGAAACTCACACGTTAATCGATTATTAATCGATCACCAATTCCCAATTATCTCTCTGCATCGTTTATTAATAATATCCGCAACCGTCATATCTAATGAATGAATCAATAAACAAATCAGGAAATATAGGAAACTAATTCCTAATTTAAGTTTATTTTGATTGCGTCTGGGAACCAAAGCCCTTATATCTCCCTCTTCATTTGAATCTCGAACCCTAAATATGAAACAAATCTTACAGTCCTTCTAAGGCGCGAATCTTAATTAAAAATTATATTCACTAGCACAGTAAAAGTTACTTAGGTACAATAAGTTACATAATTGTAAATGGAAGCCCAAAAAAAATTAAGTTCAGTTAGTTCAAGTAGTTTATAATCTGACGTCCACTAACAATAGACAAATTAAACAGTACTCGGTTGCTAAACGTTCCCATTAACGTTTCCGTAATGAGCAAACGAGATACTTAGTTTAGTGATCTCCCCCCTTAATCCTAAACTGTGAGCTTAATTAATACTAGAATCACATTAAGAACCTGTCAGCGACCGCTTTCACCATTGGCCGACGTCGAGCCAACAGATTTCTAGAGGGGCGTGAAACAACGAAACACATGCCTTTTCACACCTCTTCCTTTCTCATTCTCTCTCTCATACCCTTTTCTCTTTTTACCCGATCGGTTTTCTTCAATCAAAGTCAGTAGTCCGCGACAAACTTCCGAGGGATAAGCTGAGTGCACCAGTCGAACATTGGTCTTTTAGATCACCGATTCAAAGTTTTATACGATAGAATCTAGAAGTGAAATTCGAGAAAAAATGAGTTGATGAATTGACAAAGGAGTGACAAAACTTAAAAAGCGGACATAGTTAAAAATTTCTTCAAAAAGCTTATACCATGGAGATGCCAGTTCCCTCAAGAGCGACTCCTGATCAGGCGATTCTGCAACCAGTGACTACTTGCGAGGCTATAATTAAACCTGTGCCTAAACCGTTTTCTATAGAAGCCCTAATAGGTGATACAGACTCTAAAAGATCGGTTACAATGACCTGGTGTAATTCTCCCTGTTACTATCCTTCAAATCAAGCCCACAGCGTAAAGGACGCGGATTCAGACGGAAGTCTCGACTTAGATTTAGCCCAGGATTTGTCCAGGCAAAGTCAGAAAGATGGTAAGTCTCATTCTTCCACTCTTTTTACAATTTATTAGCAAGAAGCGTTTCCGGACATCGGAATTTACTGTAAATACCTGCCTAGGTAACCTTAGATAGGTAATCCTTTAAAGTCCTAACCGAAATAGTCTACTTATGAGTTCGTTTTGATGGAATTACAGCAGAAGCGTGAGCCAAGTAACTTTTAGGAGGGAGTCATTGAACACAAAAATAATTCTCCGTGTTATTAATTAAAAATCGATAAAAAGATCCAATTTTGTCCTTTTTACGTTGTCCATTCTCTGCGCCCCAAGGATTTTTGCTATTGTGACTTGATTCATATGCCACTGGGGGAAAGATATCGATTCCACTTTTTTATAACAATGACTAATGCGTAAAGCTATCAAACATAATTTGAAAAAAATATACATAACACTTGGTGGATTAAGCAATTATTTTTCATGTTACCTGATGTTCTACGATCCCTTTGATTCTATCGACAATTAAATTATTACGCGCTTACAACCGCCGGATTTTCGGGAGTATTAAGTAGGTTTTCCGCCCTAACTACGGCATGGTGTAGATTAATTACGAACGGGGGTAGTATAACAGGGATAATGAACAAAATGTAGAGTCCTGCTGAGAGTTAACGGGAAGTAATGACTACAACGGTCTCATCTTGATGAAAAAAACCGTCCCGAAACTTGTATGCGGTTACTAAGTACATTGGGGTGCCGCCAAGGATGATATAAGGGGGGAAAAGGAAAAGGGAACGTTACAAAATATAATGTATTAAGCTAAATGCAGTTCGAGGGTGGTCCTTATGATTATGTCGAATAATTTATTGCACATTCCATAGATCCATTCTTATAGTTACGACAGGCACATACATATGTATGTAAGCGGGGGGCGGAATGTCCAAGGGATTCGATATAACGGTAAAATTAGATAAAAGTAAAATAAATGTACATATACAGCAAGTGTTGTCTAAATGTTATTAAAGAATCGTTAAAATTCAAATCGCATCATCATTCACTCGTTTGTAATGATAAAATTTGCTAAAAGGTTGATATAAAAACTTATCATTTAAATATTTACATAACCTTAAAAAGAAGAAATGTAATTCTGCAACAATATTTGTAACTTGTATTGGTCCATCTCCCGCACTAATTTGTTTTTTAAATTTTCACATCAGCACCTATAAAATTTCCTATAGCTACTTAACCTGATGATGACAGATAATGTATAATGTTTTAAGTTCCTTAAAATATAAGAAACTGAATCCCTCTGTCAGGTACGTGCCTAACATAAGTTTAGAGTAATAGATTCCATGAAAATATTCACATTTACCAAGGATGCGTACACTACAACTACTTATAAAGAACAGATGAAAGCACTGCTTGCAGCAGAGAAAACATTTTCATTACGTATCCATACAAAAACAAAAACATGCTAAATATCATGAAATTTATAGTAAGTAACTTGGATTTCCATAACAAGCAATCTAGGGATATTAGAGAATCTGAAAGTTGTCAAAGCAAGTCCGAAAAACTCAAAGTATTCAGGAAAAGTAAGCGGATATTTATTAGAAAAGCTCAAAAAGTGATTAGTAAAGTTTCCAAAAAAAAAAGTCCGGAAAGCCCAATAGCTCAAGAGTAGTCAGGGAAAAAAGATATTATTAGAGAATTTCTGTATATAGGTTATTGTTATTTTAATTTCAGTAATTGTAACAAAAGAGAAGCTAATAAATTTGAAGCCCCTAGCTACTAAATATTTTTCGCTTACTTGTTGTAAAGGAACGATAAACCTATCCAAAATCTAAACCATCACCAACAATGACAATGGTCAAAACCTTATCACCTTTACCTGTCTTCGATCCTGATGCTAAATGCGAACAAGTAATCTACTCATTATCATCATAAGGTCGTCAGTCTTAAGACTGATTCGACACGCACCTCCGCTCCTTCCTATCCTGATCTAATCTTAGCATTTCCCTTAAACTAGAACATCCTTAACTATTTGCGAACAGTAATCTAATTAGTGCAGTGCTTCAAACATACTCTTTTAACAATCTTTTTCGAATTTTTAAATTAATCGTTTGCGGGCATAGAAGTGACTTCTTTTTATTGAAGGCGACTTGATCCTACGCTATCCTCTGCTTTATATCCCTACTACTCCTGCCGTCCTGATTTATCTAAGTTCCTAGATACCAAAAATCAGCCACTTGTAATTTTTTGTTTCCTATCTTTATATTCGCTCTCTCCCTAGACTCCCTTATATACCAGTAGTTTTGCTTTACTTTTATTTATTTTCATACAGTACTTTCTTTTTATTTGTCAATACCGCTTCCATTATTTAAAGCTATCTCTAACTTCTCCTTGCTAGATGCTTATACTTCTATATCATCTGCAAATCTAAGCATACTAATCTTTTGCCTCTGTATATCTATCCCTACAATTGTACTGTCTTTAATGATGATCGCGTCTTCGACGTATAGGTCAAAAAGAAGCGGTGACAGTGTGCATCCTTATCCGACTCCCTAATATTTTTTTTCTACGTTGCTGCTACAGCTCTATAAGTGCCTGTTGGTCTTTGTTCAAACTAAGTATCACTCTTTTATCTCTGCAGCTCATCCCTACATTTTTAAGTATATTTAACATCTTGTTCAATTTAACATTGTCAAAAGCTTTTTCTAAATCTACAAATCCTATGTATGCGCTCTTTCCTTTCTTTATCATTTTCTCTATTGTTATCCTTAATGCTTTGCAAGAATTTATTTATGATTTCGCCATACCATTCGAAATGACTAAAGAAATAAAATTTGAAGAACTATAGCTTATTTATGAGCATTTCCTTGTTTTGAAAGCGACTATATATCAACTTATATTTAAATAAATTCGTTGTTTTTCATCACCACAATAGTCTACCTTTTGTAAAACCTCCTTATCACGGTAATAATTATCACGACAGCAACTCTCACATAATCTGCGATCTGATAGTCGCTATCGTGATGACGCTCTGGCACTATCTAGTCCAAGGCTGCCTAACTCCAGGCCCATCAACGCATTGTAAATGGCTCGCATGAACCAGTTTCAAAATTCTCGCCATTTTGAAAGAAAAGCCTAGTACTGTCACCATAAACTTTAGTACACGACACTATTAGATAAGAGTAAATTCCATGACTTTGAAAGTACAAAACAAAATTTACAAATTATTGTTAATCCTTTCATGAGTAGCATACTGAAATAATTAGTTATCCTGCCAATATTCAGTTGGAATTCAGTGAATTTTACAACAACCTTTTTGAATAAAAAATATCTTCAAAGTCACAAACTTCTTCAGAAGAATTTAGAGATGATTTCTGAAAATTATAGTGCTAAAGGAAGACTTTCTATTCAATAACCGACCTGGCGCTTCAATTTTTTTTGTAGTTTTGGATCAACATGTTTGTGAAAAGTTTTCCAGATGTTAATTTTATGAATAATAAATGTTACTAACTGAGTAACATACATTTGATTTGTTCTTACTGTTGAAAAATTACTAAAACAAAAAGAATGCCAGAAATCACATAGACTGTACCAAATATACCATAACTAGCCCTTCATTCCTGAGAAGGTGTCCTACCAACCTACCACCGCTATTTCTTATTAACTTCCATAGCGCCCTCTGACCTCCCATATATAATCCTCAACATTCGTCTGTAACACCACATTTCGAACGCTTTTAACTTATTAAATACTTTAACACTTGATAGGGGTTAATATCAAACATTAATACGAAATTTCATTTTTAATTTTCCCTCATTAACTTGAGGTAGTTTGTTGTGGAGTTGAACATTAAAAATGAAATTTCATATTAATGTTCGCTTTTAACTTTTTATTTTCCGCCGCGCCCAACGCCTACGTTTCGCCTCCGTACAACGACGTGCTTCATTCATACACCTTTAGATATCAATCTTTTTGGAATTTCTAAATTAACCATTCCCCAGCTAAGAAGTGACTTCTTTCTGTTAAAGGAGACTCGACTTTGCGCTATTCTCTGTTTTATATTTTTACTGCTCCTTCCATCCTCACTTATCTGACTTCCTTGGTATCCAAATCAGCCACTTCATCTAATGTTTCGTCTTCTATTTTTATATCCACTTTTACCTTACTTTCTTATCCCTTGAATACCAGTGTTTTTGCTGTACTTTTATTTATTATCATACAATACTATTTTGTCATACTGATTCTAACTCCCCTTTGCTAGTTTCCTCTTTTTAGTTTGTTTTACCGAAATTTTCTAAATTTGTTCCGCTTATGTTGTGCACGAATGAATGAAGTTTTTCAACACAATAATTGTAAAACTTCTTAAATGTTACATTTGATCAACGATGGGCTAAATGAAATTGAATCCTATTGCTATGTTGCATATTTATCAGAATGTCGTTCACGGAATTGATTTTTCAAAATTGATGGGTGAATTTATTTCAGGAAATAGGATACGAGCAACCACTTTCACAGAATTTTTTTTTTAAATTTGCATATACATCTTTTAGACAATCGGTTGTCTACATTAATACTTTGAATTTTTTTTTAATTGCTAAATTATACCTCCACATTTCTCTCTCCTTCTCGCACTATCAAATGTCAACAACTCTAACAATAGAATAGAGAAATTCAAACTGATTCTTGACAAAAATTATTAAATAAAACTGCAGCTTTTTTTGTTATAGGATTATTGGATGTTCGTATAACATTATAACATTCAAATACAAAAACTTTCCCATACTCCATACCATTTTGCCTGTAGCCAAAATACATGGTCTATAATACGAAAATTAATATAGCCTAATTGTAGCTTTCAAATTGCAAAATGTTTTGAAAACTGTGATTTTGATATATGACTGGAAAGTTAATAAATATCACTTCTTCGTTTTGTATCGCCTCGAACTCACTGACTCGTACTAACTCACTCGACCTCGCGACAACAATTTATAGAAACTCACCGTGTTCTAAAATGATCCAGCATATGCCGTCTAG